ATGTCTAGCAGACAGTCGAACGATTGTGTTCTATTGATTAGACACTGAATTATTGGAAATATTGAAGATTCATTTCTGGGATAAACTTTAGAAGGTCAACTCAGGGTCTGAATTAATTAAATTATTTATTTCAAATGGCAGGCGTTTTGAAAGTAAGCATTAGCCCTTGAGCTTACTTCGGGCTTCACAGAGGGGAAGAGGAACATCAAAGTGTGAAGAATTCGGGAGGGGAAATAGAAGAGTGATTCACAGATGTAAAGGAGGCAGACAGACCCAAAGGTAGAAAAAGATGAGGTGAGTACTGTGAAAGGGGTCGAATATGACATACAGTGGGATGATGGTAGTTTGAAGTCAATTGCCGGTTTATAGACTTTCTTGCCGTAGGAGTATACGTTGCCCAGGATGCACCACGTGAAGGTAAGTCTTTCGCACACCCCGTGTATGAGAAGGTAAAGTCATTGCTATTACCTGTTATCAGCTTTCTTAAATTGATAAAATAGAAATTTTTTGTTTTCATTTTCCAGTAGGAAGCGTTGAATAAATGCCAATAGTGGTGTAAGAAATTGCCCAATTTCACCTGAAGCTGGTAAATGGAGTGCCGAAATGCTACCAATGCTAGGTGAAGGCTTTGCCTACAGATGATAAGCTATTTTCCTCAATTACAATTCAAGTATTTGAAGAAACGTTGCACTGAGACCGGCCACTTACAATTTTGTATTAGCATACATTTGAGATATGCCTAAATTCTAAATAAAACAATATTTATATATTGATTTATATACATAACATTAATTTGACAATTGTTTTAGGCTTGCGAAGGCCGAAAACGGACATGCGATTACAGTGCTCCTTGTAGCTTCCTACCTTGGAGTCTTTGGTCTCCATGCAATGCCACATGCGAGTCTCCCATTGGCGTAAGGAGCAGAACGCGAGCTCTTGCCAGACCCGAAGAAGCACCTCAGTGTGCATATCTGTGGAGGGATCAGCCTGGAGGCATGGAAAGCGCCTTGAAGGAAGTCGAAGAGTGTCGCATATCTTCAGAAGCCTGCGATCCGGTTACAATCTGTGGTGAAGGAACTAAACAAGGTTACCCATGCGGTAAACCCATGAAACGATACTATTACAGGTAATTCGGTCTCCTAGTTCAAACCAAGCACAACGGTACTTAGCATGACTCATAATACTTTAAGTAGATATTAGGACAACGGGGTTGTGCGATAGACTTACCTCCACGTGGTGCACTCTGGGCAACGTATACTCATACGGCAAAAAAGTCTATTAACTGGCAGTTGACATCTGTCTTCAAACAGTCATCACCTCACTCTATGCCATATTCGACTACTTCCACAGTACTCACCTCAGCTTTTTTTCTACCTTTGTGTTTGTCTCCTACATCTTTGATACACTCTTCTCTTCCCCCCCCCCCCCCCCTCCTGAATTTTTTACACTTTGTTGTTACTTCCCCTCTGTGAAGTCTGAAGTCAACTAAAGGGCTAATGATAACCATCAAGACGCCTGCCATTTGATATAAATAAATAAATAAATATTAGGACGATATTAGAATTCATTTAAAGGAATACATATATTTAATAGGAAAATTAAATATCTTTTTTTGTGAATCGTTGACAACAAAGGGACATTTTACTATTTTTTCAGCGCAATCGATCACAAATGTTTGGAATTTGAGTATCTGGGATGCAAAGGTGGTCGCAATATGTTTGAAACAAAAGAGCAGTGTGAAAATATTTGCATTCCTGCGGTGGAGGCTCTGCCGGCTTGGCGTCGTGAAAGAATGGGTCTACTGCAATTCAAGACATCTCAACTCTTTACTTCCGCTGCAGATAAAAACGAGGGGGAGTTAAAGCAAGATCCAGCCTGTTTCTACGAGGTGAATACGGGCCACGAGTGTGATTCGCCCAAGGAAATCGGTAGCTTTTGGTGAGTATGTGATTAAACAGAGCATAATTAATTTTAACTCAAAATGGTGAAAGCGTTTTGAATGCTATTTTAGGTATTATTATCCTCGCAAAAACATCTGCAGTGATTTCTTCTATCTTGGTTGTGGAGGAACACCTAATCGTTTTCCTAACCATACAGCCTGTATGGCAGCCTGCATGCCAAACGAACTTCGCCAATCCCAAATATTGGCTAAGGTCAGATCAAACACGGGATCCACTGGTACAAATGAACCTGGAGATTCGGGTATGCCTGATGGTCTTGAGGTTGCAGTGAGTCCTAAACAAGACTGTCGAGTGACTCCTTGGGGTGGTTGGGGACCATGCTCAACTCGTTGTGCTAGTCAAGTCGGATACCAATACCGTTTGCGGGCTATTAAAAGACCCGCTAGATATGGTGGCGAGGGTTGTGGACCACTCTATGAAAAACGCGATTGCTATGGTGATGACAAATCGTGCTAATTGATTTGGATATTCTCATTAACATTGAACTTCTGATTAATTATTGCTTAAATAAAATTTCCTGAAAGCCTATTTAAAATTTAGTTACGTATATAAAATTCACGAAAATCGAAATTTAGTTGGAAAATTGAAATGCGAAAGAATTTAAAAAGCCAATATGAACTCATATATCTAGAAAAGCTAGCATTTTCAAACTACATTATTACTGAAATAAGTACGCTAGCATTTAGTTAATAAAAATATTGATTGATCAAAATTTAATATAAGATACAGATCATATTACATGAAAGGGTGGTAGACAAGTAAAAACAGCCATTTCATTTATTAATAGTAACAACAAATGTCAAACAAAGTGAGCTAAAATATAAAACAATAACTCTGAGATATAAAATAATGAAATATTGACAAAGAGACGACATTTTGTCATCAAAATTTAGTTTTAGTAAGAAATTTTGTATCAAGAGATTTGTTTAAACTGTGTGAAATACAACTAAAGAATTGATCGATCAAAAATTGAAGCTAGTACTTCTTGATTGGAATGAGCGGTCAGCGAAAGAGTTGTTCCTTCGAAATTTCTTTCGATGAGCGGGACGTATCTTCCGTTCCTAAACCGCAGCTCTCTGCTAAGAAAGCCGCGGATACTCCAAAAAAGGATATAACCGTAAAGATGGAAGAAGTTAGTCGCAGGAAATCGGATCTTCTACAGGTAATCTTCGAGTTATTATTAATGGATGTCTGATGTTCATCATGCATTATTTTGCGTCAAATATTTTATCTAATTTTCATTTCATGTAGCATACTCGGGAAAGGTGTGAAGCCCACCATCAGCACGTGAAGTCTGTTATTGAGGAACTCAACGCTAAGCGAGATAGTCTGAAAATTGAATTAATTGAAACCTCAGAAATGAAGGATGAGTTGGCTTCAATGCGTCGTCGTCAAACTCTTGAGGATAAGATTGAGTCTGCCAAAAAGGATGTACGTGCTCTTCGACTTAATTTTTCTTGCACTTATTTTGCTCGAACTGTGGATTATCTTTGCTGCGGTTTTAGCTTGAGCGAGTCGATATTGTTAGGAAATCCCTAGCTGAAGAGACTGAACGGAAAAAGAATGAACTTGATGAAGACATGGCTAATAAGGAGAATAATAGGCGTTCTCTCCTTATGAGTGTTAAGGAAACATGCCAATCCGAGGTAAGAGCTTAGCATTTTTGAAATATTTGATTCGCTTAATTTAGCTGGAAAAGGTTGAGTCTGCTCGACTGCGACGCACCTCAATGACCGAGACTTTGGACGAATAATTCGAAGACGATTTCCCTTGTTGACCTTTTTTTACAAATGTACCATTTTTATTCCGTTGAAACTTATCAATATTAACCTATATGAAATTTTCCTCCATTCAGTTTGCTCTGAATTCTCCTGTTTAATAAACGTTTGTTATTAACTTCATTTTTTTCTTTTTTCGATTACGGATAAACTGCGTACAATTTTTCATTAATTCATGGGTCCTTTTTTGAGTATTTACCTTGGGTAGAAGAGTATCGCCATGGGACACTGGTGAGGTAGTCGAATTTCACGACCCCATTACAAAGAATTAATCAGTGTGATTGTCCGTTCCATTGTTCATTCACTTGAGCATCATTGGGGGACCAAATGTGCGAGATCTGGATGTTCTATTTCCCTTCTCTATTTTATCTTGTTTTATCGTATGAATTCTTCATTGGCTCTTGTTGCTTTCGTGTGAATTACTCTTTGAATCTGCCAAAAAGAGCATTGTCTGTGGTGGGGGGGGGGGGGGGGGGGGGGGATGGATATTACAGAAGTGTGACCGATCAGAGGCTCTATTTTTGTAACATTCTTTATTTCACCTAGAATGAATTTCTCATCCTAGATGGAACTTTTGAAATCGCACTGAATTTTAAAAGTTGGCAGGTTTAATCGGCATATTCAGCTTTAACTTGATGGAATATTGGTACTGCTAATGTCCTTTATTTAATTTTGATAGTCCCATACCAACTACTATGATGACTTTTATGATATTTAGAGTCCCTCTTCTGGGTCACATTACGAATGACCTTCGAGATACAACAGCTTGAATATGATCGACTTCCTGTTGTCGCTAATTGCGCAATAAGGAGGATGCCATGCTAATACTACTTGGAAGGTTCTTGTCGCCAAAACCAGTCATGAACTTGGCTCTAATAATGTATCCATGTCCGAGATGTGCTGAAAGGAAGACGGAATTGTTCGTAGATGGAGAATCTCGCTTATTTGCACTTTATTTACTGAAGAGTCGCCGTGGATTGTAAGCATCCCAATCATGCCTGAGTTGATTTCAGCTCTAGTGTTGATGATAACCATTGCCTTGAGTCCTGTCCTTGATCATCTTCTAGTCTGCTCCATTTTCTATGCCTTATCCACGGAAAAGAAGAACCACATGCCCACAGATTAGCTATGATAAGCGTTATCTACCAATTGTATCCTTTTACGTAGACCTGAAGTACTCAGAAAGTAGGTAAGGTACTAATTTTACTGATGGCGCAAACCTCTTTACTTCAGGTTTAGCTAGAAAAACTTGCTAACATTTTAATAATAATGGTAATAATAATAAATGTTCACAAACCCCTTGAGAATGCATTTTTTTCAAGGCTCATTTTCAATGGAGGTTGGTAACACATACTGCCTAATGAGAGACTCGGATCATGATGGCCTTTACATTGGTTAGATTTAAATAGGTGTATCCCAATCAACTCACAGGGTGTGAACCCTGACATCGTCCAATGGAATTTGTGTCACCTTGATCCTACTGTCTGCCCCTATATCGACTTTTGTATGATTAACAATCCAGCCTCATCAGGTGGACCCAAACGATTGTAATTAACACAATAGACAAAAATTGGATCTAAATTAGACTCCATTCCCCCTGATAGTGGAAGCCAGACAACGCTGAACCACAACTTCCTGCATTCGAAAGTTACAAAGGCCAAGTAGGGACTGGATAGATCGCTTTAGCAGAAATGGGTTGGAACTTTTTGAAGGTTGAGTAGCGTATCTGAACGTAAGAAGCATACACAGGCCATGTTCTGAGTTCTGAGTACCAATGTGAAGACATGTTCATTAGACGTGATATTCTCTTAAAGATTTTTCCAATTAGTTTATTCTGTCTGGAACATGTTCACTAACATTGATAATGTGAGTCCTTAATGAAGTGAATGTCTTACCTTTGCATACGTTATTTTGGCACATGATATCCAGGGGTCGTTATAGAGTTAAAAGTTTACATTAAAGTACGGGGTTTGCGGCGTACTTTACTCTCACTTATTGAGACTTCATTAAAACAAAAAAAGTGTAAATGAATTGTTTAATACAATAGATATTGCTGCTCTTCTCATTTGTCTGACTATGAAAAGCAGCTATGTTATGGAAGTGCGGCTGAAATGAATTAAGTAGTTTGAGCCATGCAATATCTTTTTGCATATCTTTCCAATCGGGGAGAATTCCCAATTTTTGTAAAATTAATATCCCACAGTCCTACAAAGGTGGAAGATCTTTCTTGTTACTTTAAACTTCCGTGCTTGTGCAGTTGACAACCACGACGAAAATGTTTACCTATTTGTCAGTAGATGGCTCTACGCGCTACACACGCGTTCTATTCCGCTGAGGGTGAATGATTTGGATGGAGGGGGAGGGGGGGGGGGGGGGGGGGGGGGGGATTTAAATTTTGAAGTTTATTAAAAGAACAATTTTTAAATTTAATTGAAGCGAACTGATAAGAGACGGTGAAAGTTAACTATTTGAAAAGATTTATCAGGTGGTAAAAGCAATGTTTAATGACATATTCTTCCAGCAATCTTTTGGGCTGATAAGTGCGTTCAGAGTTACATTTCCAAGGCGACTGATGACTGTTACGGTGTAGATATATCTTCAGGAACGTGAAGTAACTTTGATTTAGACTTCCCTCGATCAAAGTCAATCTGGAATGAATTCATTTAGAATTGGGCAAGATGTGATAAATGCTGATTATGAGGAGATAAAAACGTTGATTAAAATGTTTTATTAGCTGCTTTAAGTCAGATAAAATTATTTATTTATTTATATCAAATGGCAGGCGTTTTGACAATTATCACAAAAAAATTATTTCAAATGGCAGGCGTTTTGATAGATATCACTTACTTATATCAAATGGCAGGCGTTTTGATAGTTATCGTTGAGCCATTTAGCTGACTTCGGGCTTCACAGAGGGAAGGTTCGTACTTATATCAAATGGCAGGCGTTTTGGTAGTTATCATTAATTTATATCAAATGGTAGGCGTCTTGATGGCTATCATTACCGTTTATTTCAAATGACAGGCGTTTTGATAGATATCATTAGAATTAGTTGACTTTCAGGCTTCACAGAGGGGAAGGAACATCAACTAGCTGACTTCAGGCTTCACAGAGGGGAAGGAACATCAAAGTGAGAAAAAGTCGAGTTGGTTGGGGGGAACAAAACAGTGTTTCAGAGATGTAAAAGAGACAGACACAAAGGTAGAAAAAAGGTAAGATGAGTACTGCGAGAGTAGTTGAATATGAAATGCAGTGGGGTCTTGGTAGTTTGAAGTCAGAAGTTAACTGCCAGTTAATAGACCTTTTTGCCGTATGAGTATACGTTGCCCAGGGTGCACCACGTGGAGGTAAGTCTATCGCACACCCCAGTCAGATAAAATTAATAAGGCCTATCAACAGGTGAATTTTATGATAAGCGCATTTGATTTGATTACGCAAAAAATGAAACATCCGGTGTGGCTGTCTTTTTTCATCATGATGTATTTTTTGGTCTAGTGGTCCGGTCCAGCATGCAGTTAGTAACACAGGTAAAAGTGCAGAACTGACTGATTTAGTTTATATAATCGCATTAGAATATCATGAATAATACTGCAAACGAATTCTGGAATCATCATCATCATTATCATTTAAAATGGCTGCCTTTGCAATATTTATCATCAGCCCCTTAGCTAACATCAGCTTCCACAAGGGGGGGGAGGAACATATATAGTTGACTTCTGGCTTCCCAGTATCTCTGGGTTTCCGTCGTTGCTTTAAGGCTGGACACCGAATCAGGTGGGTCTTCTCCATTTCCTCCTGTAGGTTACATAGGGGGCATGTGGGTTGAGTGTATACTCCTAGTCTGTGAAGGTGCTTTGTCAGGCAATCGTGTCCGGTACGTAGTCTAAACTCAGCAATGGCTTCGATTCTTGGCCAGTCGGTTATGGTTGGAGAGTGTCACTGTCCACTGGTTCACCTTCGTTCAAGCTTTAAGTTCGTTGTACCTTGTAGTCTGTAATTCTCTCTTGATCGAGGTCTTTATTGTGTGGAAAAACATCGACCGGTTTATGCCTTGCACAATTGTTGTCCTCTTCTTAGCAAGTGTGTCAGCAAGCTCAATGCCTATACTACCACAGTGTCTCAGTAATTGATACAGTTATTTACATTCGTATATCTCGGCTGTTTTGGGTGGTTCTCTATTTCCAATTGAGTTTATTGCTGGCTGTGAGCCCGACTGCATCACCGGAATAATTGAATTGCCCAATTCCTCGTAAAAGAGTATGATACCTTTTGTGTTAACCAAATGTTTCAGTAATTGAACTCTTGGTGTTCCATGAAGTTTCGTGTTTACGATAACGCTAGATAGTTTATCAGTTGAATTAATTGAATGCCTGTCGCCATGCCACCAAAACGCTTTTGTTTCTTCGTTCAACCATTAGCAGGTCGATTAATCTAACAAAGTAGATCTGTTTATATAGTTCACTCAAGGCAAACCTTGATCATTAATTCATTGACTGCTGATGAAGGCATGGAAACAAAACACGCGGCAAAGTTTTAATCGGATCAATATTTCGAGAATAATTCTTAAACACTCTCTGCACTTCGTGGACTTCCATTTACTTCAAGCATGAGACTAGATAGGCTATGTAGGAAGCTTCAGAAAAAATTGACGCAAATTAAAATGAAGAAAAAATTACGAGAAAGTGTATATATTATCTAGTAGTTACGTTATCATTTGATTTGGGCAAAATTTTTTAGCAGCAACGGGAAAAAATCGATTGTTTCTGGTAAATTTCGGTTTCCTCTCCTTCGCCATATTCGAACAACAGTTATATCAAATGGCAGGCTTTATGATATTTATCATTAGCCCTTTAGTTGACTTCAGGCTCCACAGAGGGGAAGGAACATCAGAGTGAAAAAAGGTTGAGAGTGGAGGTGGAATAGAAGAGTGTTTCAAGGATGTAAAAGAGAGAGACGCAAAGGTAGATGAAAGGTG